GGCATCTGGTGACTGATGTGAAACATGAATTGGATCCCAGGACCCACATGAGAGAACTGACTCTGAAAAGCTGTCCCCCTGCCCTCTACAGGTGCGCCATAGCACACAAACACACATGCACGCACACACACCAAGTAAACGTCTTTGATTTTGCTTTGTTTTAAAGCTTAAGAGGCCTGGTCTGGGGTTCCTGTGGAGCCAGATAACCCTTCCCTACTCTGCCCGATGAACTTGAAGCCCACAAGGTGGACAGAGCCTTGTTGGTGCCAAACCAAACTGCCTGCCAACTCAATCTGCCAGCTCCAGGCAATACCTAGGCCTCCCAAAGTCCTGCAAACTTACCCAAGATCATGCAAAATGCTACTCCCACCTCAGGCCCCGGGTGACTCAGGTCCAGCTCCCACCTCCAGGAAGTTGGCCCAGCCTTCTAGCCCTGGGCTCTCTCATACAATCTGCAAGGTGACCTGCTCTTTTCTGTCTATGATCAGTTTCCCATCTGTAATCGCCACTTCTCAGGAGAAAAACAACTCAGTAACACCAGACCACAGGGCATGAGGATGTAGACCTTTCATCCCAGCTTTGGCGAGGCAGAGGCAGACAGATCTCTGAGTCTGAGGCCAGCCTGGTCTACAGGGCTGCTAGTTCCAGGACGGGCTCCATAGCTACTGAGAAACCCTGTCTTGAAAAACCAAAAAAAAAAAAAAAAAAAGAAAAGAAAAGAAAATTAAGTCCTGTTTGTTTCTGAGACACATCTTCTCTTTTACCCAGACTAGGCTGGACTAGAACTCAATCCTACTTCACTTCCCAACTACTGACAGAGGCATACACCACATGCCCAGCTAACTACTGAAGACTGTGTCGAACAAACACACCTGGAAACACACACACAGCCCGAAAAACACAAACACAGCAGACACAAACAGAAGGGCCCTTCACTGTTTGCGTACACTCGTGTGCACTAGGCCATTCGTTTGTAAAAACGCGCATGACACTCGTGCACGTGTGGATACGCCTGTCCCTGTATAGACTCGTGCGCGCTCGTACCACGGTGTTTTTACGAAAGAGGGCTTGAGCCGCCAAGCCGGTCTGGTTCGATGGATTCTTCTATGGAAGGGACTTAACCAAGGAGCCCTAGACGTGGGCGCAAAAGCAGGGAACGCCACCACTGTGTAGGGTAGCCATGCCCTTCCTCGCACTCAGGGCACCAGCACACACGCAGCCTGACGTCACTGCGCATTCGCAGTCGGTGGTGGTGGAGCCGCAGAGCATGCGCAGACACGGTGCACGGCTTCCCCGCCGACTAAGCACCGACCGCCCGGAAATCCGTGGAGGATCACCCAACGCTCGGCCTCTGATTCGTTCTGACCACTTCCACTTCCCGCCGTCGGCAAGCGTGTCCCCGTTGGACGTGCGCCAGCCCTGTTTTGTTTCCGGGGGAATCTTTTTCTGAAGAACGCTCACAACTTCCGGTGTTCCCGTCAGCCTTTGCTTGGCTAGTTGTATGAATTAATTAAAGGGTAGTCGGGATAAAATGGATAAATTTTTTTCTACCATTGAATAAGCGCTTAAATTATCAGGCAGCTAAATGAAAATTAAAAATTAGACGCACTTTCAACAGTCACGTCTTTGTGGAGGACAAATAAAAATCACCATTATCATAAAATGTTACAATAATTGAGCTATAAATAGGGTCGCTGGAATGCTTTAGGATTGTGTTGTATGAAAGGAGAGAAGGTTAGCACTCCCCTTGACAAGGATGGAAGAGGCCCTTGGGCCTAACAACACGCATACGGTTAAGGCATTGCCACCTACTTCGTGGCATCTAACCACTGTTTTTTCGTTTGTTTTATTTTTTGAGGCAGGGTTTCTCTGTGGCTTTGGAGGCTGTGCTGGAACTAGCACTTGTAGACCAGGCTGGTCTCGAACTCACAGAGAACCGCCTGCCTCTGCCTCCCGAGTGCTGGGATTAAATGGGTTTTTTTGTTTTGTTTTAATTAATTGTTATGTATATTACGTATACAATGTCCTACTTGCACATTTGCCTACATGCCAGCAGAGGGCACCAGATCTCATTACAGATGGTTGTGAGCCACCATGTGGTTGCTGAGAATTGAACTCAGGACCCCTGGAAGAGCAGTCAGTGCTCTCTCTTAACCTCTGAGCCCCTAACCACTTTTGGGGGGGGGTGTATGTGTTTTGTACATCCTATAGTCTTGCTCAAAATTTCTCTTCTGATCACCATCCCTGGCTCTCTGAACCGCGTATCTGTGCCCAGGGACAAGGGCAGACTGCATCACAGAGGTGGTTTCAGTCGGAAGCCTAGAAGGTTGCCAGCCTGGAAACTCCGCTTCCCATCTAGTAAGAGCTTTTTGCTCATTGCCTTCAGATATTGGGGTTTTCCAGATAGAATTCTCGCCCCCCACACCCTTTTGGTTTTTTAAGACAGTTGGTGGCGCACGCCTTTAACTAGGGATGCAGAGGTAGGCAGATCTCCGTGAGTTCGAGACCAACCTGGTCTCTACCTAGCGAGTTCCAGGGCAGGCTCCAAAACAATACAGAGAAACCCTGTCTCAAAACAACAACAACAACAAAAAAAAAAAAAAAAAAAAAAAAAGACAGGGTTTTTAAAGACAGAGTTTCTCTGTGAAACAGTCCTGGATGTCCTGAAACTCATGCTGTAGACCAGGCTGGCCTCGAACTCACAGAGATCTGCCTGCCTCTGCCTCCTGAGTGCTGGGATTAAAGGCGTGCGCCACCACCACCTGACCCTGATAGAATTCTTGCCCTTAATGCTCAAACAGCAAATAGCCCCCAAGTACTGCTTCAGGCATGGAGGTGGCTATCCCTGGGAGCTCTTGTGGGCTTTCCCAGAGCAGGCTGTACCAGAAGGTGGTAGTCATACGGGCTTCCTTAAATTGGCATCAAGCTTGCACGTGCTGTGTATTTAGTAACCACATACATGTATATATGTGTACTGCAATCTGTGCTGAGATGCATACCCATTCGTATCTGTGTATATGTATGGCCTGTGTGTGAACAAATGTTCACATATAATGTGTACACACAGAACAAAAGTTTGGGTTTTGTTTTTTGATTTTGTTTTTTCGAGACAGGGTTTCTCTGTATTGTCTTGGAGGCTGTCCTGGAACTCACTTTGTAGACTAGGCTGGCCTCGAACTCACACATATCTGCCTGCCTCTGCCTCCTGAGTGCTGGGATTAAAGGCGTGTGCCACCAACTCCTGGCCAGAACAAAAGTTTAAAGCATTAAGACAACTGAAAAATGGAATCACGCCGGGCGTTGTTTTCTTTCCTTATATGTTGCAACATCAATTAAGAGAATATCAATGATTATCACATATAAATTTAATATAGTAGGATGCCCCCCCAAAAAGACATTACTACTACTCTAAATTTATGTTTGTGGTTGTATGAGGGATAGTTATATCATGTTGGGTATAATGAGAGCTGGTTAAATACATAATGTGCTTGCAATTGTACGTGGGAGTTATGCTTAGGCGTTATGACCAGGTTATTGCTTTCATTTGGAAATCAATCATGACATAAGGCGACTGTGTGTGTGAAGATGACTAGGGATGGACTGTGATGGATATTCTTGGTTGTCAACTTGACTGTATCTGGAATGAACTAGAATCCAGATAGCAGGCACACTTGTAATCCAGACTTTGAGGCAGGGAGGCACAACTTTAACCCGGGCCACACCTTCTGCTGAAGTCTGCACTAAGGACGATGGAAGAAGGGTCTTTGCCTGCTTGCCCTTGTCAACACATCCATCCCTTTACTTGTGGGATGTTTGTACACTGTGTGAAGATGTTTGCTGTGATTGCTGTAATAAAAGGCAGGATTTCCAGGGAGAAAGGAAAAGAGAAATCAAGGTGCACAGGAGATACCAGGAGACAGAGGAAAGAGGTTCAGGATGGAAGAGGTAATGTCATGTGATTGTAGACTAATATAAATGGGTTAATTTAAGTTATAAGACCTAGTTAGGAACAAGTTCGAGCTATGGGTCAAGCTTTCATAATTAGTCCGTTTCATTATTTGGGAGTTGGCTGGTGGGACAGAAAGACCAATTCACTGTCACTGGAACCCACTTCCGGATTCTAGCATCTACACCCAACTTCATGGGACTGAGCAGCTACTAGATTCTTGAACTTTCCATTTATAACTAGCCATTGTTGGACTTCAGTTTATAAATCATTCCAATAAATGTTCATACATGTGTATACATATATACATTTATATGAGATACATTCCATTAGTTCTGTGACTCTAGAGAACCCTGACTAATACAGGCTGTTCTCCAGACTTGGTCTCACTATACAGCTCAGGCTGATCTTGAATACATGTATCGGGACTATAGGGTGACTTGCTGCAGACTTCCAACGGAATTCATTATCTAAATCCTTACCACATTCTTCATGCATTCCTAGCAACTTCCTTCTCTCAGAGATCTTTGGCACTCCTTAATAAGACATGCATTGCCTTGCCTGGTAAGAAATTCTTTTTTAAGACAGGGTTTCTGTGTGTAGCCTTGGTTGTCCTGGAACTTGCTCTGCAGACCAAACTGGCCTCAAACTCAGAGATCTGCCATGCTCTGCCTGGGATTAAAGATGCTTGCCGCAACCGCCACCACCACCACCTTGTTAAGAAATTCTTTTTTGGTTTTTTGAGACACGGTTTCTCTGTGGCTTTGGAGGCTGCCCTGGAACTAGCTCTTGTAGATCAGGCTGGTCTCGAACTCACAAAGATTCTCCTGCCTCTGCCTCCCGAGTGCTTGGATTAAAAGCGTGTGCCACCAACGCCCGACAAGAAATTCATATATAAGAGTCAGCAAAGTGGCTCAATGGATAACAGAACTTGCCACCAAGCCTGAAGAAGAGTCCTATCCCAGAACACATACGGTGGGAGGAGGGAACAACAGGCTGTCCTCTAACCTGGAACAACATATCTATGTATAAAAGAAGTTATAATGAGATAAAATTACAAGACATGAAAATCTTTATTTTCAAAAAGAGAATGTATTTTTACATAAATCTACAACAGAGTTCAACTGTAGAAAAAATAAACTATACTTGGGGATACTGTGCTCAGCATGGCAAGCAAGCTCCCTCTCTGAGGAGGGGGCCCACACACCAGGCCACAGCTGGAAGGACCTCAACACCCCTCCAGAAACCCCACAGCAACATGCCCACAACGCTGACCAGAACCCAGGCACATCAATCCAAAAGATGCCAGGGGCCCCAGAACCCACATGTCAGTGACAAGCCACCCTCTCTAACCCCGTGTGCACACCAAAGGAGGGGACAGGAGTCTACAGGAGGTACCTTTTCCAACCCCTTTTAGAATTCTTATCTTGCCTGATGGAGTGGCCAACACATGGCTGTAAGGACCACAGGCTGAGGACAGGCCCTCAACGAAGAGAGCCCAGCCACATAGACCTCGATGACCTGGCTTCATATGGATCTGTTGACTAAGCAGGCTGCAGCAGCGAGAGCAAGCCCAGAACCTCTCCGCAGCCTTCTGCAGTCCCTGCCTGTGCAGAAGCCTCACCCACCCATCTGGACTGGAAACACCCAGAGAACTTCTGCATTCTGTTCCAAGTCAGGCCACCCTGGGTATGGCCAGCAGTTGTGAAAATGCTGTGCAGCTCTGAGTCTGGCCATCGCCTCTTCCCAGGTCTGGTCATGCAGAAGCCAGGACACCAGAGGATCCATTTGAGGCAGGGGCTAAGAGAGGCTGGTGGGTTTAGAGGTCAAGGCAGGACACTGTACCTGCTGGGACAAGCACCATATTGAACCCCTCCCTCCTGCACAGGTGACCCTGAGCCTCACAAAGAACGGAGAGGACCAGAACCTCCCTACATAATGCTTGTCCAAGATTTCCACTCTTTTTCAACTGAGTCTTCCTCTCCAAACACTCAGTGCCCACAGCAGCCACTGGGAAAGAAGAGGCATAGCAAGGATCCATCTTCCCAGAGACCTTTCCAACCCCTGCTCTGGGGGGGAGCTTTCTAAAAACCAGGTGAGGATGAGCTCCTGCCAGAGCTCAGGGCCACAGAGGATTCAAGTCCACCTTTATTACAGTGTATGTAGCTTACTGAGTGACACCAGTGAGACAAGGGACATTGTGCAACCACTGAGAGGTCAGTGTTAATCTATGAACTCCAAAAATACAAAGGGACTTAACACGGATACAACTTACAACCTTTCTATGTTTCCAGAAAGTCCTGGAAACACACTGGGTACTATTACAGGCAGGGAACATGAACAAGCAGGCCAAGGCTGAGGCAGGGAACGGGAGTGGGGCTGCAGGTCCTGCTCCAGTGTGTGCACTGGGCAATACAATACCAAAATGATACAGAACAATTACTGGGGAAAATGATGAGTTGAACTCACTCTCGTAATAAAAAATTAAAAATTTGCTGCCTCTGAGCACAGACCAGGAACTTCCCCAGGCAGGGACAGAATTGGCAAGAAATGTCACAGTGGCTATCAAGACTCGGGAGTGTGCACTCCCCTGACCCGACATCTTCAGAGAAGAGGTGCACCAGTCCTGTCACCCAGCCTGGCCTCACACCTCTGCCCCACGTGTGTTTCTTGCCAATCTGGGCGGCTTCCTGAAGTCTCTTGTGGAGCCAGGACTTAGCAGTCACTCTTCCACAGTTTGATTGTTTTGTCATTCTCTAGCGCTGCTGAGGCAATGATGTTCTCTGTCGGGTGACAAGCCGTGGAAATCACAACATCTGAAAGAGAGTTAGTCAGGTGCTACTCCAGGATAAGCAGCGGCAGCACATGCCTGGCTGGCCTCAGGAGCACAGGGAGCACCACGGGGGTTGGGGGGAGTGCTCAGAATGCCAGCAACAGTAACAAGCACCGCAGCGTGTGCTGGGCAGAGGAAACTTGGTGGGAGTCCAGCAGGGTCCTCAGCCCTCCTTACTGGTCCCAGAGCTGACTACTCCCACTGCCTCCTACCACCCAACATAACCTTCATGATATTGCTCTCCCTGGGATGGGATGGGCAGGGATACTGGCATTAATGAGATGGCATGTGAAGTCCACTAACTCTGCCTGTTCCCTGGGTGCTCAGGAATACAGCAACTGTAACCAAGCCACTCCCAGATGAAGGCAACTGCTGTCAGAGCCAGATGTTAGACTTGTTCAAGGCTGAGCTCTGCCTGGGAGATGGAAAGCTAGAACCCTAAAGGGACTGGAGCCTCCAGGAAACGAAGCTCACCAGGAAGGTTAGACACTTCCCACATTCACTTTTGGATCCCATTGCCAGCAGCTATCCAGGCCCAAGATGCTTGGTTTCCAGGGAGGAAAACAAGCTATACTCCAAGGAGGCCTGGGTCTAATCAACACCTATAACCAACCAGGCCCAGAACCCAAGACAAGAAAGAGCCCTTGATGATGCTTCCTCTCAGGCCTGCAGGGCTGGGATGGCAGAGTAACAACATCTGCCTGTGTGCCCCTAAATCACAAAGACAACCAAGCACTTGGAGGACTGAGAGGCTCCCCTGGGTGGCTCCACCCACCCGTATGGCCCATCTCCAAATGACTGCCTACCTGTGTGACCCTGCAACTTCTGCACAATCTCCTTGGTCTGCAGATTCCAAATATACACCAGGTTATCTTCAGAACCAGACACGATCCACTGCAGTAGCACAGCAGGCAGCCAGTGAGGATAGGCAAGACACCAGGAAGTTATGTGCTGAGTCAGTAGCCATAGGCAAGCTGCCTGGTACCACTCTAAACCCTCATTCCCCCAACCTGCGGACATGGCAAATGCCTCCCATGCCACCCCTCAGCGAGTCTAAGTTTCTATCCAGTCACCACAGTTCCATCCAGAGGGCATGTATGGATTTGTTCCATAGGTTTAGGAAAGCTTCACAAAGACATGAAATGAAGCCACCTGTGGTGGGTGGCCTCTCAGAAGAGAGCTGGCAAGGTGACAGCAGCTCTGTGGAAGACTCACCTTCCCACCTGTCACGGAGAAGTTGGCAAATATGCAGTATTTCTCGTTCTTGTGGCCAGTGTATGTCTTCAGGCACTGAAAAGGTGGGCGTGCATTGTTAGCATCTGTGGTTCTCTTTCATTCCGGAGGATTCCAAGTTCTGGGCACACACATCTGACCAGTGCCTAAACATATTCTGAATATTCTAGACACATACTGGGCAAAGGCCACAGGAAGACTAACCATTCATAAAACACCACATCTTTAAAGGGAGTTGTTCCAAACTTGCTTATCAAAAGACTTAGTCTCTCCTGCTTCAAGTCCTGGATCTGCTGCACCACCCTTCAACCTGTTACCTGGGGCTGGCACGCAGAAGGTCAGGCCAGCTGCGTGCCTGAAGCTCACCTTCCCCTTGCTGTAGTCCCAGAGCTTCAGCGTGCTGAAAGAGAGAGTGGGAGTGAGGGGCAGCCCATTTTTGGCCACACCCCGCCTCTGATGCCACCACTTCCCAACAACCATGGATGTCAGCATAGAGGATCCTCAGTTCATCCATTAGGCTCAGCCACTCTAAGGCACACAGGAGCAAACACAAGGACCCTTGTACTTGTAGTTCAGAGACAGACTGAAGAAAAGAGGTTGTTGGCTGTCTTTGCAAAACCAGGGGTTAGTCACAAACAGAATGTGGAAAACCACACTGGCTCCAGAAACATCCAGAACAAACTTCCCAGGAAGCATCGTCCGCTCACTCGTCCTTGGGACAGAGGTGCATGCTGATCATTGGGAGAAGTGGTAGGCTAACCAGGATAATGCCCATCAGGCAGCAGGGGTGAGCAGGCAAGGTTCCTTTAAGACCTTGTACAGTGTGCCAGCTTACATGAGCACCTAGAAGGGGGTCAGCATGTATGACAGTGAGATCCTGATACATGAAGGTGCTCAGAGCCTGAGAACTGGCTTAAAGACAGCCTAGCATGTGTGAGGCCATGGGCTCCAGCCTCGCACTGAAAGCAAACAAACAAAAGTCAAGGAGCTCAGAGGCCCAAGAAGGCCTTCAGAGACCACCTGTCCTGCCTCACCTCTGCGTAAAAAATCTTTCTCATATTAGAACTATCTGGAGTGGACAACCTTTCTTCAGCTCCTCAGTCCATAGTCCAGGGCCAAGCACTAATGCCCAAATGTAAACCACCTTAACTAGGCTACTGGAAGAGAGGAACCCCACCCATGAAGGCTGTGTCCAAAGCACTCACTTGTCCAAAGTTGCGGCCAGGATATATTTGCCATTTGGAGAGAACTTCACAAAGGACACTGGAGGATTATCATCATCTGCACAGAACAAAGACAAGATGACTCTTGGCAGAGAAGAGAGGCAGGACAGCTCCCTGTCACCCATGCAGGAGGACATGTGTGAGGCCCCTGCCACCTATACTATTACCACTATTCCCTAAGGCCTCCAAGAGCCTGACATTCTATCTCCCATCACCTTCCCTGCCATTCATGTTCTTAAGTCTTCACCCCTGTGCTCTGCTAATATGAGGCTTCACCACATGTGAAAGGAGGCCCAAAGCTCCCCAGCAGAGCTGAACAATTGATCCCCCTGGAGAAAGCTGCCTAGCCTAGGGCAGTCCTGTGGACATATTCCCATTCTGCAGTCAAGCAAGCCCTCCTTTCGTGATGGCCACGCCTCTGCCTGCTGACGTTAGCCTCAGCATTCAGTGAGGGCAGTGGGGAGGCTGCAGCCCTGCTGAAGAGCCAGGCCTCCTAGAAACTGCCCACGTAAAAGCTATTTTCCAGGGCACAATGATGCTATATACTCTTTCACAGTGGGCCCTTGGAGGTCTGCCCCTCTCCTGGGTGAGAAAGCTGTGTCCTGGGGTGGACCTGCCTGGTCAGCCAAGGAATCACACCAGGTCCTAAGGTGTGCATACAAAGACTAGTGCATCCTGACACACTCATTACCACCAGAGGTTCGCAGGGGGCTCTGTTCCGTGGGACTGATCACATACACTGAAAGGGACACGACAGTGAGGCCAGTTGAGGCCACAAAGGGCCATTCAGGATCAGTTGACATAGAACAGTACCTGTGCTCCTTCTCCAGGCCACATCTGAAACAGATCCCTGGAGAAATATCACTGACCTGTGCTGAGCAAGCCTTAATGACAATCTTAAATTTCTAGCCAAGTGGTGGTAGCCCAAACCTTTAATCCCAGCACTGGGGAGGCAGAGGCAGGTGGATCTGAGTTTGAGGCCAGCCTAATCTATAGAATGAGTTTCAAGACAGCCAGGGCTACAAAGAAAAAAACAAACAAACAAAAAAACAGAGAAATCCCATCTCGAAAAATAAAAACAAACAACAACAACAACAAAATTGTCCTAAAATGCCAAACCTTCCAAAAGAAAATCAGTTTTCACCCTGAAGAGACACGGGGAAGAGAAAGAGACCTTGGGCCAACTAAGCCTGCTTACCTCAGTCTAAGGCTTCCTACCCATTGCCTGCCCAGATTTAAATCCTGGTCCTGCAACCTGGCTGTCCACCACAGACCAAAGTTTAGCCAACAACTGGTATTAAACAAAGCACTCTACAAGTTTTAACCCCAGAGCTGTTAATACACGGGGAGGTAATAACTAGTCTTACTGCCATGCTTTATTGATACTCATAGGGGGAAACCTGCCCTTTTCTGGATGGAGACTGAAGAGGAGATTGGGGGGTGGGGAATGGGAGAGAGGGCCTGGGAGGAGAGGATAGGAGGGGGCTGCAAAATAAATGAATAATAATAAAAAACAGACAGACAAAAACTACGCAGGACTGATGAGCCGGCTCATGCACTTGCTGCACAGGCCTGACAACCTGAGTTCAGAACCCAAAGTAGAAGACATCTAACCCTGAAAACTGTCCTCTGGCCTCCTCATGTGTGCCATGGCACAGACACACACACACACAGTACACACACACACACAGTACACACATACTTTGCATGTATGTACTAGGGGGTGGGGCGGACACACAATACTTTTTTTTTTTTGAGGCAAGGTTTCTCTGTATTGTTTTGGAGGCTTTCCTGGAACTCGATTTGTAGACCAGGATGGCCTTGAACTCACAGAGATCCGCCTGCCTCTGCCTCCCGAGTGCTGGGATTAAAGGCACGCGCCACCAACGCCCAGCCACAATACTTTTTTTTAAAGCACAGAATTTGCTGGGCATAGTATTGCATACTTTAATCCCAACACTCCAGAAGTATGTCGATCTCTATTGAGTTTGAGACCAGCTTGGTCTACAAAGCAAGCTCCAGGGCAGCCAGAGCTACACAATTGAGACCCTGTCACAAAACCAAGCAAACAAAACACAACAACCCACAGCCCCACAAAACCAAACAGAATTTGACTGTTTCTGAGGACAACTACTGAACTTAAGTGAGTGTTGTAACTCTAGCATTTCCCACCCTGTGTCAACCTCCTTGAGCTGCTTATGATGGCTGCACCTCAACTGGATGCATACCTGCCTACTGCACACCATTCCAACAGTGTAGTTAGGCAGTCGCTTCTTGGCATCTGTAACATCCACACACCCAGTATTTTAAACCACCTTAAGATTTAAAGCACAGGAGTGCACAAGTCACATGCAAATGCTGCATCATCTCAAATAAGGGACCTGAGCATCTGAGGACTTTGTGTTCCATGGAAGGTCCCTCTCCCACATATGCTGAGGGATGACTGGGCTTGCTATGCAGCTTTCCAGCTAGCTGACATCTGTACCTAACATGCTACCCTGTGAACTGAGGACAACATCCCTGTCCACAGGGTAGCAGATGGTTTACAAGGTGGCAACACAAGCATTATGTATGTGTTGCAGTAGCTGCTGCATGACTTAGTGCCAGAGAGGACCTGGTAGAGAGGACTGGGAGTGGCATCTGTGACTGCTCTGAGAAATCAAGAAGCCCCAAGGGTGGCTCCGCACAGCAAGAAAAGCATAAAAGTCATTGGTCATTATTTCAGAGCGAACTGTGTCCCCAAACTGGTGAAGCCCATCTAGAGCTACAGCAACTGGCTGTTTTGGAGAGAACATTACACATGTGATGGTAGTAGTAGGGTGTGTTAAATGTGAGCATGTCATTAAGCAGTTGAGCACAGAGAAACACAAGTGTGTACATGACATCTGCAGGTCAGAGAAATGTCAGAAGTCACCCTGCCCATGCTTGCTGCCTGGCCACCTTAACTCCAATTGTGAATGAGTTCCTGTCTTCTCTGCCAATTCAGGCACTATCCTAGTAATCTGCCAGGCCACAATGGCCACACTAGTTATCATACTAGCTCAGGGAGGTAGCAACTCACCACATCAGCCTATCTACCCCCAAAGCCTGTCTGGCAAAAAAATGGTATCTTGTGAATAATTTCGACAATAGATACTTAGTTTTACTTTCAGTAAGTGTGCCGTTTATCGTTACAGCGTCATTTGGAGCTACACCAGTCCTTCACATTGCTAACCTAAATAAAGTTCTGAACTCCAATTGGGTCAAGTAACACGCTTCCAACACTCCAGCCACCTACCTGAGAGCTAAAATCTGTCCTACTCCTGACACTCTGCCCAGCCTGTAGCACCCCAGTAGGTGAGCATGTCTCCCCAACTCCACAGAGGAAGGGGCCAGAGACAGGCTGAAGGTGATGAGCACAGGTGGAGAGTGTAGGGCCCCAAAGAGCTACATTATTCAACCATGTAAAACACCCCAAGGACCCCATCTGAGCATGAGAGACAACAGGATACTAAGGGTTCCATGGGAAGGAAGGAGGGGTGGATACACCATGAGTCCTCCAGAGTCAAGGAAGCCCGGGACAGAAGGGAAAGGTGAGTTCTTGAAAACAGACACTCTGTAAGGACCACCAGGCCATGGCAGGCCTGGGAAAGCCTGCCCTATCCTCCTCCACCCACCCTTACAACCCTCCCCAGACAGAACCGAGCACTCACCAATGAGCGTCTTCAGACACTGGCCAGAGGCAGTGTCCCAGATGCGGCTGTCAAATAAAAACACGATATGTAAGAAAGCTGATTGCTGGTAAGTGCTATCACCAATCCCACTAAGCTCTGGAAAGGCACTTCTCAGAGTTCCCGTAGCACCGCACTGCACCACAGCTTAACAATTACTCTCTGAGACTGAGTAAAAACTATGTGTGCACACATGGGCAGGCTTTACCTGTCCCAGGATTGTCTCCCAACCTGGCATAAAGGAAACCTGATCTCCAGGAAGGATTACACAGAGAAACCCTGTCTCCAAAAAGAAAAGCCACAAAAAAAGAAAGAAAGAAAGAAAGAAAGAAAGAAAGAAAGAAGAAGCCAGGCAGTGGTGGTATACACTTTTAATTCTAGCATTTGGGTAGCCCAGAGGCAAAGGCAGGAGGATTTTTGAGAATCTGAGGCCAGCCTGGTCTATAGAGCTACATAGAAGAAAACACAAAACAAAAAGCCCTGTCTTAAACCAAAACCAAAGAAAGATACCTGTCCTCTCTATATTCTCCTAATTTAAGGGCCACCAATGGCTGGTGTGTCCCACAGAGGGCTGAGTGTTACAAATAAAGTCTGTAGCATTTCCTGGATATCCCTGTAGATGTATGACAAGGAATGTATTCAGAGATCACCATCAGAGAGGCTTTGAGATGGTTCTTTGAGACAATCCACAGACTTCCTCAGCTGACTCCCAGAAGCAGGGACTCTGGCTCTTTGCTAGGCTTCTTCCCAATCAGACCCCCATGCTCTCACTGCATCTGAAACTTTACCCAGGCCAGGCCCCATATCCCACCCCCAAGGTGAGGCAATCAGGTCCTCCTTCCCCAACACCAGCCTTTCCACATCTGAGGGTTTCCACTACTGGGCCAAGCTGGTCTGATCGAGAAGCATGAGCCCCTCTCTGCTCAATCTTCTGAGCACACGCCCAGTAACACTTCTCTGCAGGCTCTATTTTATTTTTGATCCTCATATCTAGATGACAGACATAAGCTGCCATGACTGGACTCCTTCATGGATTTTTCTTTTCTTTTTTGGTAAAGACTTATTTATTATGTATACAGTGTTCTGTCTGTATACCTGCAGACCAGAAGAGGGCACCAGATTTCATTATGGATGGTTATGAGGCACTGTGTGATTGCTGGGAATTGAACTCAGGACCTCTGGAAGAGCTGGCAGTGCTCTTAACCTCTGAGCCATCTCTCCAGCTGCTCACAATCCCACCCCACCCCCTCAGACAGTTTCATTATCATTACTGTAGCTCTAGCTAGCTGGCCTTGAACTCACAAAGATCTGCCTTCTCAGTGCTGGGATTAAAGATCAAAGACATGTACCACCTGCTGATCTCTTTTAAATCTACTTTTGTACAATAGCAAAAACACCCTAAGGGGCTGAAACCCAACTACCTACTGGCACACAAGCTCAAGAGTGACTGATGGTGACTTCTGACTCCATTCTGAACTCCCCAGTGTGTGCTCAGGTAGTCATTCTCCATGGTTCCTTCCCTCTCCCATGAAAGCATCCATCATCTACCTGGTTAATACCAGGTTTTTGGTTTTTTTTTGGGGGGGGCAATCACCTTAAACCCTGGCGAATGCTTATTTCTACACCTCAGACAGCATGGCTGAGGTTCCAGAGGCTGGGCAAAGCAGCTGACTCTGAGGATCCTGGTCTGTCACTTACTGGCTGAGAGACAACTGGCATGTATTTATGTTTACCTACACTTCCAAGCGACAAGTGGGGATGGCAGGAATTTGATGCAGCAAGGGAAGAAGGACCACATGGGTGGCTTTTTAGTTGTTTTTATTTGAGTGCCTGCATTTGAGTTCCAGAGCTACAAAGTAAGACCCTGTCTCTAATAAGCTTATGAATTAATCACTTCCTCCAGCTCTCTTAGGTGGCCGCCTCCAGGGTCCACTTAGGAAGAGGGCCAAGTGCAGTGCACTGCTAGTGCTCCGTCCTCTGTGAGCTCAGGGCACCCACCTCCCTACTGCGCATCTTTACTTTTGGTCATAAGTTTTAGCTCTTTACCTACCAAACACGCCTTACATAACTGGTTCTCATTTCTTTGCACCCCACTTTTTTCTGTCTTCCTCTCTGACAGGGTCTCACCATGCAGCCCTGGCTATCTTCAAATCCTGAACTGTGCCAGCTTCTGCTCCCAGAGTGCTGGGATGAGGGTGTGTTCCATCACCTCTTAACTTCTCTCCCTCCTTCCTGACAACTTCTTAAATAAACTGTTTCTAACTCTTTGGAAAGTTTCTTAAAGCCAAGACTGCACATGGCATGAAGGTTCTAGGTCACTGTCTAACACCACAGTCTGGTCAACATACTTGGGTGCCAGGAGGGCAGGATATGTGGGGGTGCAGGGGCTCTGTGCCCCCAGACTTCTCTCCAGCATCTTTGCCACATGGTATTATTCTTTGTGGCAAACAGAAGAATGGTCTCAAATGGATTATGGCTTTTACTTCGGCCACTAGTGACAAGCACAGGGCACAGGGGGGTGTCTTTGTGCTATAGCACACCTAGGTGACCACAGCCCCAAATGCTGTTACCACCTGGGCAGTCAGGTGCACCCTGCCAGACAATAGCCAGGGTTCAGTCATTCATCTCCAGCCCCATGAAGGGGCTGTGTTGTGTGCTGGTTGCAGACCGGTTTCTAGGGCTCCAGCCAACCCATTCTCACAGACCTGTGGTTCTCCTGTTACCATCTCTCCAACATCCCACGCTCTGGACTCATTCTGGAAAATTCAAGTTTCAAGTGTACTTCTACCAGAGGTCTCTTGGTGGCCATCTGCCTATGACAGTGACAGCACAGTAACACACGACAGACTGGAACTACTGAAACAAGCTTTAATGGACTTCTCTTTCTTTTGAAAGAACTGCCTTTTTGCTAAAGTTTGTGCCACCCCCAAAGAGAAAGAAAATGTTTAGTTCACATCACTCAATACTCTGTATGTGGTCAGTAAAACAAATAATATTGCCAAGAAGCTTCGCTAAGTCCCAACCCAGCCCTGTTCAAAGTGGCAAAGCTCTGGCTGAGCAACTGCACGGCTTGGTTCTACATGCAGCATCAAACTGTAAGTAGAATTTAAGTCATCTCTGTTAGGTCTAGATTTTACTCTGCCTTTTGGTTACTTCTGCTTGAGGCACAGAAGTTTCTAGTTCCTTTGGTTCACTCTAGGTCACTCTGCCCTGTCCTATCCTTCAGATCAATTCTTGCTTGGGACTTTGCTGCACAGATGTCAGTCACCTGCCCTGCTCAAACACTTCATTTCAGGAATCTTTGATGTTAGGTATATTTAAATGCATCCAAGTTCTTTTTTACCTCAAAGCCAATGATGGCCTTTAGTGAGGGTATCCAGCCAGCCCATCACCCCTGCCATACACCAACACAGTGCTCCACTCACCCCAGCACTGTTCTCAATCAGCCTCTATTTCTGCTCAACACAGAACATCAACAGTTACGATCTCCAAGCTTAAAGTACACTTTACTCCTAAGCCTGCCTCTTGTGACCTACACTCTCCCTTGTCTTCTAAAGAACGCTGATCACTTCTGCCCAGCAGTCAGGTCTACAGCGCCCTCCACTGCTGGAAGCTCTGTACGCGCCTCTAGCTTCTCCTCTCTTCCACACAATGGGATCTGCCCAGAATTCATGGGATCTGTAGACAGTGCCACTCACTCACTTACCACAAGGATTCAACCCCTTTACTGTCTCTCTACAATTTTGAAATGGCACACTCAGGGGCCTGCAAAGAGCTCACAGCTTTCACTCTGCCCTGGATGGTCTGGTCTCAGTCCCCATCTCTGCCACCTCCTTTATGGATTTTCATCCACTTAACTATGAGCCACACACTAGCAACAACCTGCAGCCAGAGGACACAGGCTTATGGAAAGTGAGGCATGCGTCCCCTCTTTTTGCTGCTTCTCAGAGCTGGAACAGCAGCACAGCAGGCCATAAACATTTGTTCACTACATGACGGAGACTCTCACTTACCAGAGGCCATCATAGCTACTGGAAACGATCAACGATCCATCGCGGTTAAAATGAACCTACAAATTAAAGGAGGAAAACAGGCTGACTTCCTAATCAGTAGCATGTGGTTCTGGATCCCAGTGGCATCCTGACCACAGAACTCACCACACACCTTCCCTTTTGGCACCCAACAAGGCCAATACAACTGAGGAAAAAAATAAAACAAAAACCTTTTCCCCATCAGCAAAAAGTCAGGAGATTCATTCAGCTTTCTGGAATGGTCCACACGTACTCTGATGCTCACTCATAAAGCCTGAGTCTCTGACACCTATATCACTGCCACTCCAGATGCTCAGTGGGATAAACCAGTCACGAAACTCAGGCCATTATGCAAATTTCACTACGAGCCCCTGGTGTCCTTGGGTGAACTCCAGGCCCTTTTGTAACTGACTTCAGTGCATTTGGTTTTGTTGTGAGACAGGATCTTGTGTGGCTGTAGTTGACCCTGAATTCATTATGTAGCTGTAGCTTTTGTCCCCTAATTTTCTGTCCTCTGCCAAAGTGCTGGGATTACAGGCATATAATACCATGCCCATGCTTATGCAATAGCAGTGTTAGAACCCAAGAACTAGTGCAGGTTGTGTAAACACTCTACCAACTGGACTACATCTCCAGCCCTGCTTAAATCTTAATACCAGGAGTTGAGTCCATCTCCAGAATTTCTATAACTTTCACTGAGTCTTTGGCAGATGTGTCCAAAGACAAACTTTTTACAGATGAACTCTCAATGCATGGTATGGTGACAAGCTTAAGAAATGGTCCTACCTCAGCTTCCTAAGGCCTAGGTTCACAGGCATTTACAAAAACTTACAAGCAACCTTCAGATTCCAGGGACTCTTGCCATCAGGAACATGATGGACCAAGCTGGACTCAACATGCACTGGAGCCACAAGGGTCACTTTCTGCTGTTGACAAGTACATGCCTGATGCTGAACAGCCACTCAACCATAACTGCCAGCCACTTACAGTTCCTTCCTTAATTCAAGACAATCCAACTACTGGCATTAACCCCTATCTTTAATACCCAAGACAATTTTCTTTTAAATATTTATTTTTTACATCTACACATAGAGCCTACATGTCAGAAGAGGACAGCATCAGAGCTCATTACAGATGGCTGTGAGCCACCATGTGGTTGCTGGGAATTGAACTCAGGACCTCTGGAAGAGTAGCCAGTGTTCTTAACCACTGAGCCATCTCTCCAGCCCCGCCCCCCCCCCCCCACAAGACAAATTCTTATTAAGACATTATGGGGTAAGGGCAAGGCGTTGGTGGCGCACCCTTTAATCCCAGCACTCGGGAGGTAGGGGCAGGTGGATCTCTGTGAGTTCGAAGCCAGCCTGGTCTACAGAGCGAGTTCCAGGACAGCCTCCAAAAGAATACAGAGAAACCCTGTCTCGAAAAAAAAAGACATTATGGCGTAAGGAGTCAATATGGACCCTGACTTTTGATAACACTAATGTACAGATAGCACCCTGGAGAAGCAAGTTAGCAAACTCACACGGTACCCAGACCTACCCTGGAAAATTAACTGGACTCTCTGCCGGAGAGTCACAGCAAATAATTAAGGATCCCAAAAATACAGTGATAACTCGCAGGCCAAGGATGTAGCTAGTAAGAGAGTATAGTTAAGGCTGGGCCTATAGGTGAACTCTTTGCCCCTTAGTTAAGTCTCCAGTCCCAGGTCATCAGCACAAGTACCCTGTGAATGTGCAAAGCTGTGCCAACAGACCCCCCCTCTTTGACAGAAGTGCTAATAAAGCTTTCTTTGAGGGCCCCCAGACAAGTTTTGGCCCTAAGTAGGTCCCACCAATACAGATGTACAATGGATACCTAGAGGCTTTTCTGAACCAGACAGCAGTTAGGCAGTCCCACTATCACTTGAAAGCAAAACAAAACATGAGGAAGGGTTGGTATTTAAAGCTGAAGACCAGGGCTGGGTATGGTGGCTTACACCTTTAATCTCAGCACCAGGAAGGCAGAGGCTAGCAGCTATCTGTGGGTTTGAGCTCAGGCTGCTCTACACAGCAAGATCCAGCCCAGGACAAGCTATATACTGAGACCCTGTCTCTAAATTAATTAACTAATTTTTTTAAAGGGTGAGGAGGGTGGTACTGCAGAGATGGCTCAGTAGACAAAAACATTTGCTGCTCTATTAGAAGACTCAGGTTTGGTTCAGCATAGCCACATGTCAATTCATGACCACCTTAACTCCAGTTCAGAGGATCCGATGCTGACACATGCTTCTTCTGCCACCAGGCAGCTATGAAAGATCCTGGTTCTACTGACACAGAAACCTTTGAGCCCTTGCTTTCTTGGGGGCTGGAGAGTAAGCCCAGCGGCTCAAGAATCCTAGGGGGAATGCTCTACAATGGAGCTTTTGTCTCTCTGTTGCACAGGTTGGCACCTAAATGAGCCATTTCTATAATTGGCACAATTTGGGCTGGGAATACAGCTCAACGGTAGAACATTTGCCTAGTGTGCACCAGTCCTGGGTTCAAAAAAAAATTTTTGAGACAGAATTTCTCTGTGTAGCTTTGGAGCCTGTCCTGGAACTCACTCTGTAGACCAGGCTGGCTTCAAACTCAGAGATCCACTTGCCTCTGCCTCCTGAGTGCTGAGATTAAAGGTGTGAGCCACCACCGCCCAGTTCAGGAAAAAAACAAAAAACAATCTGGTGTGATGGCATACACCTATAATCCCAGCCTTCTGAAGATGGAGGCAGGAGAGTCATAAGGATAAGGTCATCCTCAGAAAACATACATGAGACCAGCTCAGGGGGAAAAAGGGATAATCAATAATAATGACATGTACAGTTTGACACTTGCCTCTTGTTTTGACCAGAACAGCAGCTGACTAAAACAAGGACAGACACTATGCGCTACGAGATCAGAGGGCCCTGGCATCAACAGCTCACCGAAGTTTTATGCCACCTGTGCTGGTTGGTTTTTGTCAACATGACACAAACCTAGACATATCTGGAAAGAGGAAATCTTAATTGAAAACATGCCTCCATTAAGACTGGCCTGTAGAAAGTCTGCAGGGTGTTTTCTTGATCGATGGCCTTAAGTATGAGCGATGCCACCTTTAGGCAGGTGACCCTGGCTTGTATAAAAACAAATGACTAAGCCATAAGAGCAATGTTCCTCCATGGCCTCTGCTCCAGTTCCTATATCCAGGTTCCTGCCCTAACTTCCTCCAATGATGGGGCTGATATGAAGTAGAAGACGAAACCCACCCCAGGCAGGGACGGAGCACACCTTTAGTTCCAGCCCCCACAGGCAAAGTGTGGTGGTTTGAATGGAAATGGCCCCCACAGGCTCTCATAGAAAGTGGCACTATTGGGAGGTGTGGCCTCGTTAGAGGAAGTGTGCTACTGGGGGTGGACTCTGAGGTTTCAAATGTTCAAGCCAAGCCTAGTGTCACTCTCTTCCAGCTGCCTGCCCATCCAGATAGAGTTCTCTGCTCCCTCTCAAGCACAGCCGCCTGCATGCTGCCATCCTTCCTGCCATGATGACAAACTTCTCAACTGTCAGCCAGCCCCAACTAAATGCTTTCCTTATAAGAGTTGATTTGGTCATGGTGCTTCTTCACAGCAGCCAAAACCCTAACTAAAACAGAGGCAGATAGACCTCTATGAGTTCAAGGCCAGTCTAGTCTACATAGTGAGTTCTAGGACAGCCAGGGCCACATAGAGAAACTCTGCCTCAAAAAAAAAAAAAAAAAACACAACAAAATAAAAACAACTTTAATCCCAGCACTAGGGAAGCAGAAGCAGGAGGATCTCTATGAGTTTGAGGCTAGCCTGGTCTTTAAAGAGAGTTCTAAGACAGCCTCAAAAGCCACAGAGAAACCCTGTCTCGGAAAACAAAAACACAAAAAACAAAAAAATATATAAAAAGGAAATAATCTTTTCTTCCCCCTGTACTGGCTAGCTTTATGTCAACTTGACACAAGCTAGAATCGGAGAGGAAGGGAGCCTCAATTGAGAAAATGCCACCATAACACTGAGCTGTAGGCAAGTTTGTAGGGCATTTTCTCAATTGGTGACTGATGGGGAGTGATACCATTCCCGGGCTGGTGGTCCTGGGTTCTCTAAGAAAGCAGGCTGTGCAAGTCACAAAAAGCAAGCCAGTAAAGCAGCACTCACTCTTTAATGCCCACTGCATGGCTCCCTGTTGTCTAAACGCACTCCTTCAGAACTGACCACCCTCATCCTGTGAAAATTCATTCTAGAACACCCCCCTTGAAAATCCCCGTCATCTACCTCCCAGCCCACAAAAGTTCCCCAGGTGCTCCCTGCTGTACCCCACCTACCCACATAGCACACAGAGCCAAGAGATGCCTTGGCCTCTGGTCATGTGGCTGCTGCACTTGAGCGAGTAAGTTCACCCACGCAGAGGACTTACAGCGGATACTGGGTCCGAATGGGCAGGCAAAGTCTTGAGGCACTTCCCTGTCTTCACATCCCATATCCGCACGCTTTCATCAAACTAAAGATGAGACAGGACGTTAAAGTACTTCATAGGAACACAGAAGCAGCAACAGTGGGGTCCCTGAGACCCAAACCCTGCCCCACCCTGCCTAACCCCACACCGAGCACCAATGTGTGACACCGCACACATCGCCCCCGAAGAAGAGACCCACTCACTTACAGACCCTGAGACGATGAGGTTGGACTGGGGGTTGAAGTTGCAGCAGAAGACATAGTTACTGTGGCCCTTCAGGGTCTTCAGACACTTTCCCTAGAGCACAGCACACCAAGCTCTGTGATTCTCAGGGGCTATATTCCCAGACACAAATCCTGAACTTCCCTGCACATGTGAAGACCTCCCCAGGACCAGCCACCCACATATTCAACTCATCTCAACTACAGGTACTCCCTGGGAAGATCACTGTCACTTACAGAACTCACGTCCCATATCTTCAAAGTTTTATCATCAGAGGCAGACACAAGGAGGTTGGAATCTGATGACCAGGCTACATCAGATATCCCCTAGGGAAAGAAAAAACAGTTGGTTATCACCTTGTGGATCAGAACCCCAAAGACCAGTAAAAGACCAGTTCTACCTATCTATGCACCATGACCTCCCTCAGGAAATCTGGCCAGTGTTAGCACAAGACATCTAGCCCAGAACAAAAGGTCACAACTCTCAGCTCTGCCAGGTTTCCTAGACTCATTCGCCTATGGAGGCTTAAAATGCTTGCACCAAAAATATAAGGTAGTCAGCCAGGTGTGGTAGTGCAAACCTAATTCTGAGGCAGAATGACTGCAGTTCCAGACCAGCCTGGACTACATAGTAAGACCCTGAGACCATCAACATTAAAGAGACGCCTGACAAGCCAGAAGGCCAAGACAGACAGATCTCCGAGTTCAAGGTCAGCCTGGTCTATAGAGTAAGCTCCAGGACAGACAGGGCAACCAACCATCTGGCTCAACAGCCAGTGCACCTCACAGGAAACCTACCAGCTTGTGACCAGATATGGTTTTCTCAAACTTCCCGTCATATGCTCCCCATATTTTAATGAGTTTATCAGCAGCTGAAAGAAAAGGAGCTGGAGTTAGACGAGGTTGTAGCTGTTCCCCTAAAATCCAGGGCCTAGGTTACTCAGTGAAGTAAGTGTAAACACAGGGGCCACTGCACCCCACCCCCCCACACCACTTCACTGTGGCAGCGGCATATGAACAGTCAATTACATGAACGCACACAAACCTATGGGGGCAGTAAGAAGTAACAGTCAGTGCCCCCTACCAACCACCCTTCCTCAGCTGAAGCTCAGACAGCCTTTCCTCTCCAGCCAAGGAACTAAGGATACTCACATGAACTTGCCAGCCACTCCCCATTGGGGCTGAACTTCACAGAGGACACAGCTTTCGTGTGGCCAGCCAGGGTGAACTTCAGAGCATAGTTTGGCTTAACAGGTGTGGGCTGTGGAAGAACGTACAAATAAGCCAGAGGCAACTACCACCACCCCATCAACTCACTTGATGCCCAAATTATTAGCTGGTTCCCAACTCATACACCAGAACTCACTACCTCCTTATCTGACGTCACACCTCAAACTGCCAGTGTGAGCCTATCACTCTCTTCAAAGCCCCTACTTCCTCTGGAGTCCCCACCTCAGCACACCAACGATTTGTCATTTTTTTTAGTCAACTAGGATGGTGCATATCTTTAAATTAATCCCAGCACATGAGTGGGAGAGGGAGTAGGCAGAGGCAGACTTATCTACATGAGTTCAAGACTAGCCTGGTCTGCATGTTGTGTTCCTCACCAGCCAGGACTACAGGAAGACTCTGCCTCAAAACAAACTGTACTTTTTGTTAAAGGCCACCCCCACTGCCTTAGGTCTGATGGCACCTAGCATTTAGCTCTGTGTGACCATTGCTATGTGGTCAGAAACTCACACTGCCAGCAAACCTCACTGGGCAGAGCAGCCTGGACTAATGAAATAACATCCCCTAGAATCTCTCCAGCCTGTCTGCCACAGTGGTCCCTGTGGGACATACCTTGCTCTGTGTGGCTGATGAGGAAGGGGTAGGCTGTGCTCTTGCAGCCTCTGTCTCTGGCTTCTTCTCCTCCGTGGCCATGGCTCTGATGCCCACCGGGCAGGACACCGTGAAGGGGGGAGTCACAGTGGAAGAGGCTGTCAGCTAAAGCGTACTCTACAGTATGGGGCCTATAAACAAATCCTCTCTTTAAAAAAGGTTACTGGGAGGGGACTGAATGCTGTTCCAGAGGACCTGAGTCTGCTTTCCACTTGTTGTAAAACCATCCCTTAAGTACAGGTCAGAGAATCTGACGCCCTCTTCTGGGCTCTGTAGGGACTACATGCATGTGGTATGCAGACATACAAACAGGCAAAAGACAAAACAAAAACACACATAAAATGAATTTGAACAGGTATGGTGTCACATGTCTTTAATTCCGGCACTTGGGAGGCAGAGGTAGGTGGATCTCTGAGTTTGAGGCCAGAATGGTCTACAGAGTTCTAAGACAGACAGGGCTACACAGAGAAACCCTATCTCAAAACAACAACAGGTTGTTAGGGCTGAGGTAATAACTCAGAGAGAGAGCATTCACCTAACATGCCTAAGACCACCCTCCCCCCAAGTATAAAAGGAAAAAGGGAAAAACATGACCACTATATTGAACCCTACAGCTAATAAACTGCTCCAAGCTGGGGATCCTGTCACCCTGTCCCAGGGCTGAAGCTTCAATGTTCTGTGTGATGACCTGCTCTTGACCTCTTTGTGAGCTTAAGAAAAACTTGACCCTCAAGAAGGCTTCCCACTGCAGTACTAGATGTGTACAGGCATGTGAGCTTTGCTTCAAAGAGCCTTAGACACAGCTTTTAATAAAAAGGCTTTCTGACAGAAACTGATAGGCCAAGTGCCAAGAGGTAGACCTGTGCAGAAGTTTGGGAGCTTACCCTCAAATGCACCAAGGAATTTGATCATGAAAACACAGGCATTACGAACCCAGTGGACACCACCTATCAGCTGCTCCCTGTGATCTCACGGGCTGCAGGTGCAAAGCTGACTTCTAGAGTAAGAGCTTACAGAGTTCAAGGACTCAGTGCACACAGTACTACAAAAGAGCTACAAGAGTAAACCAGAGTGGTCGCTGACTCCACAGGTTCCTGCTGCAAACTAGACGCATGCTACAGTGCAAAGGAAAGTAGTTATTCTGGTCATCTTGACAGCACTCAGCCTGAAATGTGTGCATCGCAGTAATAGGTCCATCACCTGGTTACACCACACAAAAGCACACCACATGACTGGAAAATGAGGTAGTAGTCCTCAAAGGTGAGCTACTAAGGCATGCCTGCAAATGTCCCTGGTCATGGATTCTTTAGCCATCAATGCAAGGAGGAAGCATGATGTAAATCTATCTAGCTTTAAGATTAAACCTGAAACCTCACAGACCCCATGTAACACTAAGACAAATGAAGGAAGGACACACACACACACACACACACACACACACACACACACACCATGTCTAGTCTTCAGTCCTAGAGGAGTAACAGTTACAACGCCCACCACACACGGCACAGGTGCAGCTAAGCTGTTTTACCTGCAGCCAGTTCCATCAAGGTCATATCCTGCTGTAGTTCAAGCCCAGATGCAAGGATTGGAGGAGAGTAGGTCCCATCGGTTTCTCCAGGGAACAAAGCTCTGGTGCCCAGGGAATGTCAGCTGCTTGGTGTTTTTAGCTTATTGGAGGCAGGGTCTAGTTATGTACCTGGTATTCAAAAGCCTCCTGTTTTAGCTTCTGGGTACAGTAGGTGTAACAGGCATATATTCACCACCAGGCCTGACCAGGAGCTTATTCGTGTTTTTCGAGACAGGGTTTCTCTGTGTAGCTTTGGAGCCTGTCCTGGAAATCACTCTGTAAACCAGGCTGGCCTTGAACTCAGAGAGACCCACCTGTCTCTGCCTCTTGAGTGCTGGGATTAAAGGCATGTGTCACAACCGCCTGGCAAGGCAGGTTATTAATGCAAATTTGGCCATATCATGGATTCCTATAGCCACAGCTTCTGTTGCCCATACAGGTAGCAGGAGGAGCTGAGGATGCTGAGGTAACAAAAAGGGCTAGAAAGTCTCTTTCGCAAAGCCTAGCAGATCTCCCTAGCCCAGTGAAAGGACAGGGCAACAGTGTAAGGCAGGTCTCTTGGGTGGGAAGGCTCTGGGAACTAATGAGCTTCTTTTAGCTTACAAGGAGATTCACCTTGCAGTGGGAGGATGACCTTGCAGACAAGTGTGCACCAGCACACTCCCCACCCCGGAATACCCCGTGGACAGCATCTTTCTTCTAGATGCCAAATATTAACATATGAAAGCATCACGCTTTAGCCCACATTTGGGAACCCCTAAGATCAAGATACGCCTGGTGTACAGAGCAAGTTCCAGAACCTACACAGAGAAACCCTGTCTTGAGGAAAGGGAGGGGGACCCCACCAACTTTAGCTAGTCTGCCTCACTACATTCTGGAGGCTGGAGGCTCAGGAGTTCAAAGTAGCTAAAAAGAGACGCCAGCATCTACAAGAAATCACCGATTTCCTATTTCACGGGGCGGAGTCCTAGACAGAGTGTCCAGGTGTGCAGGTTTTAAGCCCACAGAAAAGCAGGATTGGGGAGGGCAGTTCTGAGAGGGAGGTGTGTTAGACAGAACGGTTTGGGGCTGGCATCCACAGCCCACAAAGGAAGTAGTCAACTGACAGTCACAACCAACCTGATACCACAGTGAGCCTGAAGGGCAGCAGTCACTACTCTCTCCAATCCAGTGCAGATTCCTGGGTGCCACCCCACACACTGAGTGCACAAGTGTGGAGAGACAGAGTGTTTCAGTCACTCAGGTGACTGCGGTTGGCCAACCCAACAAAGAGCTTCATCAACCCGTCCCCTCCGGGTTCCTGGATACCTTGGTCCTAGCAGCCTTGGCTTCCCACCACTGTGTGTTCGCCTGCCTGCTTGACCCAGACAATGCCTACGAATCCCTTGACTAGAGTTGGGCCTAGTCAGGTAGAAACTTGCACTGGAAGTCAGGTGAAGACTGTGCTGGCAAACGGCAACCTAAGACGGGCGCCAAGTGGCCAAGGAAACCTGGGAGACGCTGGCTGGGTGAAAGACCGTGAATCCCGCCCCCAAGGACACCAGCCCGAGGTGGGCTTCGAGGAGCTCGCACCACTAAGGGTCTAGGGGCGCAGCGGGGAGGGGTGGGCCATGACGACCACAAGGGGCGGTGGGGTCGGGGCGCGGCCGCACAGGCGGCGCCGGGCCCGGCCCGAGGCCCATGGAACACGTGCGGCGCTGAGGATCCCGGAGCCCACTATCCCTCGTGGCCGCCGCCCGCCTCGCGCCCAAAGGGCCGGGTCACCCTCTTACCTGCCGGGGCCGCGGCGGCGGGGCCGGACGCTCTGGCGTCGCGTCGGCTGGCCCTGCGCGCGAGAGCAGACGAGCTCCTGAACTAGGCGGCAGCGGCGCGGTAGGCGGGCGGGAGTGCGCGTGCGCGAGGGGGCGGGGCAACGGGCGGCGACGAGGGTCAGAAAAATTAGAGGAGGAGGAGTGCCTTAAAGGGGCCGTCTGCGGCTCTCGCTTCCTGCTTGACAGCTGGGATCCATTGGCTGCCGACCCGCGGTGTCTGCAGTGAAGCATGGGACAGAATGTGCTTTTGTGATTCTCCTGTTGTCCCATGCTGTGTCGCCAAGCTGATGGTTACAGCTTGGCTGGCCTGGCCTGTGCCTGCGCTGGGGTCTTAGGAACCCTCTCGGTGCCACGGGTGGAGGTCCACGAGGTCCGGAAGTTCCGGAGCTCCTGCGGCTTCCCCAGCCTACCGCGGGGCAGGAGCTTCCTGCCGCTGCAAGCCACATCTCAAGTTGGACACACTTGCGTCTCCTCTGAGCTAGGCGACAAGGAGACTGTGCTATGCAGCCCCATACTCAGGAAAAGTTTCTAAAACTACCACCGCAAGACCCGGCCGTGATGGCGCACGCCTTTATCCCAGCACTCCCAGGCAGAGGCAGGCGGATCAATGTGAGACCAACCTGGTCTACAAGAGCTAATTCCAGGACAGGCTCCAAAGCTACACAGAGAAACCCTGTCTCGAAAAACCAAAAGAAAAAAAGAAAGATGAAAAGCAAATGTCCCTCCAGGTCTTCTCGCTATGCATTCATCTGAAACCACTGCATCATTCAGTCGCTCCTTAGCTTGGGTGCCCAGAGCTCACATTCCAGGCAACTGCAATATCCACTACAATCCAGTTCCCATATGGCCCAGAAGCTCTTGTTTGTTTGTTTTTGTTTTTCGAGACAGGGTTTCTCTGTATTGTTTTGGAAGCTGTCCTGGAACTCGCTCTGTAGACCAGGCTGGCCTCGAACTCACAGAGATCCGCCTGCCTCTGCCTCCCGAATGTCGGGATTAAGGACGTGCGCCATCAACGCCCGGCCCCAGAAGCTAATTTTTTAAATCCTTTTATTTATTTGTTTGTTTATTTATTATGAATACAACCCCCTGCCTCCATGCCTTCACGCCAGAAGAGGGCACCAGAACTCATTATGGATGGTTGTGAGCCATCATGTGGTTGCTGGGAATTGAACTCAGGACCTCTGGAAGAGCAGTCAGTGCTCTTAGCCTCTGAGCCATCTCTCCAGCCCCCCAGAAGCTAATTTTAAAGGCTCTGTTTTCACCGTAATTCTCATTTTCACAAGACAGCTCCAGACAGGCAGGATGCCTTGAATTAAGCAAAGTATTCACAGCCCTCTCTCCTGTAGGCCACCTCTACTCCTGTCACTAATGGAGGAAAGACCCAGAGAGGACACAGGGACCTAAAGACAGGCTGCACCTTCACTTTACTGTCTAACACATGGTCTTAGAATCTTGGAGGTGGCCATGGCCTGTGCCGCCTCTTATCTCCCAATGCGGGAGTATCAAATACAACATAGGAACATAGGGACTGAGCCTTTGGAGCTGAGACTGTGTGTTGTTCCCATAGCTATAGGAGTGAGAGAAGACTAGTAATTGGCCTAGAATCCCCTTCCAAAGAGGACACAGAAGCAGCTCATGGGGAACTGTGTGCCCAACAGGCCTGATCCCTATGCTAGGAGCCCTGGAAGCCGCAGAGTGTAAGGTGAGGAGAACAGCTTCTCCCATATCTGCCTAGCTGCCTGGACTGGAAACCAAACCTAATTCTGAAGTTCTCTCGGCCTGAGATAACATTCAAACCCATCCACTTCCATCCTCATCCTGGCTCTACCTAAGATGCAGCCTTTTCCAGATTCCAGCCAGAGGAGCTGCTAAAATGCAGGATGTAGCTCAGTTGATAGAGTGCGTGCAGAGCATGCGAGAAGCCATGGGTTCGATCCCCAACACCCATAAAACAAGTGTTGTTGCACAAGCACTAGGGAGTTAGAGGCAGGAGGATCAGAACTTTAAAAGATCATCCTTAGCTACATACTCAATCAAGACCAGCCTGAGAGGCCTGAAGGATGAGGGGTCCTGATGCAGAACCCTCAGATTTCCAACTTTCACTCAGTAGATTTGAATGTCTTCTTCTCAAAGGAAACAGCCTTCTGGTCTAAGTGAGAAAATTCGCCATTTTTGTCATAGCACATACCCTGAAGCCAAGTAACACAGCAGGCTAGAGCCACTGTTGGGGTCAGAGGAAAAACTGAAAGAAGACCCCCCAAACTCAAATAGTATGTAAGAACAAAGAGTATTTATTACTATACCAGCATATATGAGGCTGTTCACCTGTACAAAATGGCAATGACCCCAAGAAGAACGTGCAGGCTTCCTTTAAGCACAGCTAGGGGAATTTTATGAAGAGTTAGGTCATCTCAAACATAATTGGTTAAACAAGCAGCATTGCATTAGTACGCTTTTTTGTTTTGTTTTGTTTTTTCAAGACAGGCTTTCTCTGTGTAGCTTTGGAGCCTGTCCTAGAACTAGCTCTTGTAGACCAAGCTGGCCTTGAACTCACAGAGATCCGCTTGCCTCTGTCTCCCCGAGTGCTGGGATTAAAGGTGTGTGCCACCACTGCCCGGCTTATTTATTATTTTTATATGCTGGTGTATGTATCTGCATGAGTTTATATGCACCACACGTCTGCAAGAGCCAGCAGACGCCAGAAGAGGGTGATGGATCCCCTGGAATTGGAGTTGCATGTTGTTTCTAATCTGAAATGTGGGTGCTGGGGATAGAACCAGTTCTTCTACAAGAGGACCAAGTGTTCCTAACTACTGATCTATCTTAGTCCCCTAGCAATTCTTATAAATACAACATTTCTAGAAAGTTCCTCTCCCCTCCCACTTAAAGCTCTCATATCAGCCTAGCAAACTTCCAACAGCCAACATCCACTTTGACTTGCCATCTGGATCCCCAGATAAATGAGTGTTGCAGCTGCGTCTCCACAGCTGCTAGTTCCTTTTGCCCAGTATAACATCTTTCATTGCAGTTCCTGGCTCAGTGTCCCCTGGGCCTGCCTGGGGTGGATCAGGGTTCTCACACACACCTGTCTTGGCAGTTGGCAAAGGAAAGGAGATGGAGGGGTGCCACCTAGCAACTGAATATGCCTATTCCCCTCCTATTTAGATGGATGGGTGAGTGTATGAATGAATGGATGATTATGTGGATGGGTGTAAGGTAGATACCTAGATAGACAGGCAGGTATGTGTCTAGATGGATGGATCAGTGGATGAATGGGAGCCTAGATAGAAGAGAAGTCAGATGAGTGGGTATCTGGTAAGTACATGGACAAATGAATATACGGGGAATACGTAGCGGTAGGTGAGTGAGTGGGTATAGAGGGCACAGCGTTCTTGCATTTCACAGACGAGCACTGAGGAAATTAGGAATGTAAACATGCAGGGGTGTCTCCTCCATGGAAGAAATAAAATCCCTGCTCTCCACCCAGAAAGCTGGGAGTGGATGTTGCTGGTGACCTTTGCTATCTGTAGTGCCAGACCCAAATCCCCAAATGATTAACACAGACTCTCCCTTCCTAGATGTTTATTTTTAGCTCTTAGTCACTAGAAGCCACCCGTAAGTGAGATGTCGCATGTGCTTTATATCCTGCTGACCTCCATCTCAGTCAGAGACCACACCAGATCCCAGGCCTTTAAGCTAGCAAACTTACCTTAAAGGTCACATGTACTTTGCAAAGGAGTTTCTATGTAGCCCTGACTTAAACTTTTTTGTGCACCTGGAATTGGAGTGATCATTGCCTGGAAACTTTTTTTTTTTTCCAAATTGTGCTGAGTTTAAATATTCGTACATCGAGGCAGTGGTGACACACGCCTTTAATCCCAGCACTTGAGAGGCAGAGGCAGGTGGATCTCTGTGAGTTTGAAGCCAGTCTTATCTACAGAGAAGGGTCTGTCTTGGAAAAACAAGAACAAACAAACAAACAAATAAACAAATCTGTGTGTTTGAGGCTAGCCTGGTCTACAGAGTGAGTTCCAGGACAGGTTCCAAAGCAATATAGAGAAACCCTATCTCTCTTTTTTTTTTTTTTGAGACAGGGTTTCTCCGTATTGTTTTGGAGGCTGTCCTGGAACTCCCTCGGTAGACCAGGCTGGCCTCAAACTCACAGAGATCCGCCTGCCTCTGCCTCCCGAGTGCTGGGATTAAAGGCGTGCGCCACCACCACCCGGCCCGAGAAACCCTATCTCTAAAAACAAACAAGCAAAGTGCTTACAATTAGCTGTTACCATCAGACTC